GTGTGTGTGTGTGTGTGTGTGTGTGTGTGTGTGTGTGTGTGTGTGTGTGTGTGTGTGTGTGTGTGTGTGTGTGTGTGTGTGTGTGTGTGTGTGTGTGTGTGTGTGTGTGTGTGTGTGTGTGTGTGTGTGTGTGTGTGTGTGTGTGTGTGTATGTGTATGTCTGTGTGTTACCTTCTTGCGCAACCTCGGAGATGGGTAGGTTCTGCACGCTGGACATGTGACCGAGCACGCTGAAGATGACGAAGCCAGCGAGGATGCTGGTGAAGCAGTTCACACCGCTAGTGATCAACGCATCCCTGAAACATGACATACGCACGCACGGACGATGCTATCATCAGCTTCCTAATCATATAATTGTCTAATTAATTATCCATATTTTTCGTTACATAATTAACTCTAAAATTAGCATGTTAATTAATTGATTAATTAATTCATTATCAAGTGAGGAATAAAGAGAGAGAGAGAGAAAGGCCAGTTTTGTCGTAGTAGCCTGCTATACTGTATGCGCGATGTACGCGTGTATGTATATGTGTATGTATGTGTGTATGTATGAGTACCTGCGTGTGTTTGTGCGTGCGTGTGTAATGCGTTCGTGCGTGCATGCATATGTATGTATGTGTACGTGTGTGTGCGTGCGTGTGTGTGTGCGTGTGCGTGTGTACGTGCGTGCGCGTGTGCGTGTGTGCGCGTGAGCGTGTGTGCGCGTATGCGTGTGTGTGCGTTCGTAGCTACAGGCATCTGCAAACAACCAACAGTTGGCATTCACCTGTAGCAGTTATTGTGGAACCTGTTGTAGCTGGCGTAGGCCATCAGCGTCCCAAAGCCAGGCCCCAGAGAGAAAAACACCTGAGTAGCGGCGTCCGTCCATACCTGCAGCAGCATGGTGAGGCATAGGTAAACGCCAACGTAACACAGGTGTAAATGAGGCATGGCACAGGTGTGACGCAGATATAGCACACGTAGCTCAGGTGTCGCAGGTATGGAACATCTCATCTAAGGCGTCTACGGCCGGAAACGCACGTGTAAGTATGATATGCGTTCGAAACTTATTATTAAACGTATTAAACTCATATTTTTTAAATTCTGTTTTTAGTCATTGTCTTCGTGTATGGAGCAATAATAACATAGTATTAAAGATGTCGCGATTTAGTGATGTGAAGCGGACAGGAGATGCGAATTTATTCACAGAGTCGATACCTGCGTAGATTTCAATCTATGCCACTGTGGTTTCAGGTAGTATATGATGCCGTCTAGAGCGCCATCTAGCGTGATGCCTCTCACTAGCAGAACCAATAGTATGACGTAGGGTGCCAGTGCCGTGAACCATACAACCTAGTTTAAAAAAACACGTTACGCGACTTCTATTTTACGCACTGTGTCAACCTGTCGTTTGGATTCAAATGAGTTGGTGATGGCCTTTACACAACATGATCAATTGGCCATCAAGTGCCTTCACCTCAAGGTGAGAGTAAATGCCCCTGAGATACCGTTGTCAGAAACATCAAAAATGGTTATGACATCATTAATCTATATTGTCATATCTTTTGACGTGAAGTGTCACGAAAAAATCCATGACATTTTAGACTTGTGATAGCCTTCGTTATTTACGATGTTTCTGACCTCCAGTTCTTTGCCCGTCACTAATATTTTTCCCCAAGATACGCGCATGACGTTAGCGTGCGATCGCAGCGACACGGCACGAACACACACACACACACACACACACACACACACGCACGCACACGCACACACGCACACGCACACGCGCCGGAGATATCGCCGCTATCATTTTAGCTACAGAGAGATATATCTTCAACAACTCAAAATTCATGTACTATTAGTTCATCTTGCATTACGTGCTAGCGTAGCGCCAAGAGCTCATAATACCTGTTCACTAATAAATAAGGTAAAATTAGCTGCTAATCATAATGTATAATTACACCTGCAGCGGCAACACTGGGATTGCGTGTGAAGCAACATATAGCAGCAGCACAAGCGTTGAGACAACCGACTTACGAACGTGAAGACGGGGCTGATGATTGTCCAGCATGCTCGCCAGTAGATTCCGGGAGAGAAGCCTAACATGTGTTTGATGTCATCGGAAAACCGACTCACACCTGTGGCAATGGAGGGGACGTGTGGATGGAGACACGGTGCACAGGCGAGTGTGAACACGAACTCACAAACTGACTCGAGTTATAAAATCAAATTAAAATTTAAATGTAGACACACACACCAACTTTATATAATAGTGACGTCGGGATGTTTACGGACTGTACGTAATGCTGACGTCATCAAAACTTACCGTAGAACCAGCAGACAGCGACGGCCTCTAGAAACACGATAAACAATATGGATAGCTGAGTGCCGAATGCATCGTACATCTGTATCACATAGCTTCCACCCTGCAACACATGCAGCGCCTCGTATCTGATACCATGTGATAGTTTCACGCGTTCGGAATTGATCACGCTTTTGATACAAACGATGACGTCACGGCGTTACAACTTTTACAATAAACTGCTACAGTATTTATTTGCGTAATTTCAGCATCCCATGCCAGACGCATGAGGCTCGAGTAGCCGCTTACACTCGCTTTACCACACCAACGGTACACACCAAAATCAACGCTCATAAAATAGCGAAACGATTACAATTCAGATTATTTTCAATGTAGACTCGTTGTGATCAATCAGTTGGCTCACATGGCAAGATGGCTGTATATGGCAAGATGACTGTATATTGCAAGATGGCTGTATAAGGCAAGATGCGCACTCACGTAGGTGGTCGTAGGCAACGCTCCTAGGTAGCACCATAGCATCAGCGCAGCAACGAAGAGTTCCCGACGTCGCCTCAACGCCGGAAATTCATCACAGAATCCCGTGATAAGGGCTTCCAGCCCACCGAACTGTCATTTATTTATATAAACGCTTCTATAAACGCTAATATATATATATATTAGCGGACAAAAACGTAACTATACGGGCTACGCTGCACACATTACATTATAGTGTGTAATTACTATTTAATAGTTAATTTAATATTATTTAATCTTTATATATAATTGAATATTATAATCAAGGGCTAATAATACGTGTATAATAATGCATTATTATTATTTATATAGGAGATGATGAGTGACTCACAGTACTGTCTAGTCCGAGCGTTATGAGCATGAGGAAGAAGATGATCGCCCAGAGAGGAGCAAACGGCATCGCGGCGATCGCTTGTGCGCGCTACCACCTCAACACAGCCCCCGCGACTGCAGCAGCGAATCCCATTGAGCTGTGTGTGTGTGTGTGCTGTGTGTGTGTTGTGTGTAGTTGTTGATGTTTTGTGTCGTGTCTGATGTGTCGTGTGTGTGTGATGTGCTCGTGTCGCATGTGTGAGTGTGTGTGTGGTGTGTGTGTGTTTGTGTGTGTCGTGCATAGATGTGGTTGTGTGTGAATTGTGTTATATGCCTGTTGTGCTGAGATGATGTGGTGTGTTGGATAGTGTGATGTGTGACACCACCATCTAGTGGGGAGAAAAATATCTTTTCTTTCACAACGGGGGCGGGGTTGGCCACTTACCAGTAGTTAACGCGTACGCCCCTGGTTGTGGCTGGCTCGGTAGTGTTGTAGCTGTCTTGATGGGTGTTCTGTTTACTCTTCTTGCCGCATTGGACCTCGCGAGATCGGGTTAGCGTGTCGTTCATCGAACTTGGTTATTGCATCGTGCAAGCGCGAAGGACCCGCATGCACGAATGACGACAGGTCACGCAGCAGGACAGGTGCCTGCGATGAAGTACTAGTTGCTCCAATAGCGAGACCGTAACTATGTGGATCGATACGTGCATCCCTGGAACGGTCCATGAACGCATCACGCACGCATTTGAGCAGATTGGATGTCACTATCATTGGTCATGACGCTTCCTACATACTTTGACTAAGTAGTGGTCTTTAATTAATTATCATATTTTCTTGTTCATAATTATACTCTCAAAGGGATGTAGCGGATGCTTAAGATTAATTTTTGATTAAATTTAATTCCCATTATCAATTGTGAAGGTAAACTAACTACGAGGAAGCTGTGACGATATTCGAGAGACGAACAGGCAGTTTTTGTCGTCAGTAGCCTGCCCTATACTTTATTTGCGCTGATGTTGCGGTGTTTATGTACTCTATTGTCGTATGTATGCTTGTTTGTTAATGTATGTTCTTACTTTTCGTGTGTTTGTGCGTTGTCGTGTCTGTAATGTCGTTTCGCTGCGTCTTGCCTCTGGCATACTGATATGTATGTGTTCACCCGTGTCGTCTGTGCGTCCGTGTGTGTGTGTCCTTCGTTCGTGCGTGTCTCTGTACGTTCGGCTCGTTGCGCGTGTGCGTGTGTAAGCCGAAAGTCGTAGTATCTCTCTTCGCTTTCGTCCTCTCGTCGTCTGCATGTTCTTCTCGCCTTAACTCGGCCTTACCCTTTCACTTCGCTGTCGCGGCGTTTAATATTGCAGCGCTTCGTGTTGCGTATTTCGTTTACGTTCTATACAAGGCATCTGCATATCCAAATCCACTTTAACAGTTTGGCCACCTTTCACCTGTTAGCTCTCTTTATGTGTGAAACTTGTATAAGATTTTGCTGGCGCCTAGGCCGCACCACTTTATGTCTCGACGCCTCTCTTTTCTGTCTTTCCAAAGCCAGGCCGCAACGAAGAAAAATACATTTCTCGGAAGGTAGCGGTGCCGTTCCACTCTCTTTCTGCTAGCTCAGCAAATGGTGAGGCCACTAGTCGTCATTCACGCCAACGTCAACACAGGTGTGTAACACTCGTGACGGACATGGCCACCAGGCGGGTGTTGACGTTATCCCTCTTAACGACCCGAATATTGGAGCACACCGAGCTCAGGTGCTCGCTTGGTACTTTTGGCAATTCATCGTCATCTAAGGACGCCGGTCTTACGCGCGTGTGGACCAACAGCGACGTTGAGTTAGGGTGTAAATGCATATTCGCGTCGAAAGCTTATTATTAAAACCCGTACTTACAAACTCATCCATTTTTTAAATTTCCTGGTTTTTACGTAACGAAGATATTCTCTTTCACGAGGTGCTTTCTTCATCTTCCTTCACCATGTAATTTCCTCGGAGTTGGCCTCTCTTCTATTCTCGGAGTTAGGCACTGGCGCCAATACCACTAACGTGTGGATGCATATCCGTGTGGGACAGGAGTATGCCCTATTCAAAGGTAACCAGTATGTTTGATTTTAAACGATCTAGAATAAAATGTGAGACTTTTTTATGCTCTGTTAAGAATTCCATTGGACCTATTTACTTAGTTTAAGTCATTTTAACGATATATTCGCATTCTTTTTGAAAACAACTTTTCTTTATATTCCCACTGCCACGGGTTACAAAACTGACACGACATGCTATGCGACGGGGATCATTGCCGGATGTGACAAGGTGTACGTTGTCGTCCAAGGGAGGATTGGACGACGACACCCCCCACGAACAGCAGCGCCACCCACCGCCACATCTGCGTCCGCCCTGCCCCCCCCTGATACCACGCCCGCCGCCACATACCACCACACCCCTTTCGCACGGCACCTCTCGTACACCCCCGCGCCTCCGCTGCCAGAACCCCTCGCGAACCGCACCAGGCCACGCCAAACGCACGTACACCACACCCCTCAAACCCGCACCGCCCAGACCACTTTCCCGTCCTCAGCGCAGACCACCAGCAGACCAATACCCCCACCACGCGCCAGCGTCCCGCTCCGGCACCCGCACCTACTCACGCTCAGCCTGGTGGTAACGGCCTCCATCCTGACACCGACCCGACGAACCGCGCCCCCTTCGCCCGCCCTTCTAGACGGCTGGGACACATAACGGAGGGCACGCGTCAATAACCGCCTACGACACCGCCGCGGGCCCTCAATCCACCAGGCAAATTCGAAACCGAGCTCCCTACCGCCATACGCCATATTTCCTCCCTAGCGACTCCAATATCCTTCCCACAACCACAACCCTTACCAAACTCCCAGCACCCCGACCTCGGCACCGCCGAGCGACCGAAGATGTAGAGAGGAACGGCCACCGCATGGATCCGCAATTGTCTTCGTGCTATGGGGACACATATAGGAACGATAATAAAACTCGGTCGGCATTTAATGATGGGAAGCGGCATCCATCGGCAGATGCGAATTTACTTCACAGAGTCGGATACCGCGTCTATGACTCTTTGCAATTCTAATTGCCACTGTTCTGAGTTTCAGGTGAGTATATGATGCGTCGCGCTTAGAGCGCATTCTAGCGTGACTGCCTCCATTAGCAGGAGACCAATAGTCACTGGACGTAGGTGCCAGTGCGCTGAACCATACAACCTAGTTTCAAGAAAAGACACGTTACGCGTTCTATTTTAGGCACTGTGTCAACCTGTCGTTTGGATTCAATGAGTTTTGGTGGATGGCCGTGCTTAAGAAAACGGGGAAAATGAATAAATTAGGGGGCTCTTTGAAGTGGCGCCGATGTCACATCAAGATGGCGTCGAGGAGTAAAGTCAGCCCCTGAGCATAGCACGAGTTGTCAGAAAACATCAAAATTGAGGTGTCTATCATAGACATCGATTAAGTCTTATTGTCAATAAATACTTTTGACGGTGAAAGCTGTCACGAAAAAAAATCCATGACATTTTTAGCACCTTCTGGATAAGCTTCCAGTTTTTACGATGTTTACTTGGACCTCCACGGAATTCTCTTGTCTGTGGGCCCGGAATTCGACTGAATACTTTTTCCCGAAGATACGCGCATGACGTTAAGCGTGCGGGATCGGCCAGCAGGACGCGCGGCACGAACGAATCTTGTACCTCATAAAAAATATTAGATAGTGTATATATTAGTATTATATTAGTATATATATATATTAGTATTATATAGATATTGCTATAGCGCCTTATATATGTTATACTGGTTATTGGCACGGATTCGTGTATATATACGCATCAAATATTAAACATTACGATAAGTGAGGCGCGTGTGTACGACAGTCATAGAAATTTTGTCTTCGTATATTATTTGTTTTTGACATGCTCTCGCCGCCCGGCCAATAAGACAACCCCAGGGCTTTGGGCGACCTATCCACAGACCTCGGCGCGAAGTGTTGGCGCGCCAAGGGACTCCGTCCTGACGAGGAGGAAGAGAGTGCTGTCAAGCTGTTAAAAACAGGGTAAGAAGCAAGGCCGAAGAGGTATTTATCGCGGCAGTCAAGTGTGAGTTGGGAAGAGGTGATGGGAAGGCGACCAACAGGAGAGGTCAAGGCAAAAATGTCGTTCGGAGTGGCGATGGGGTTATTTGGGTGCCGAACAGACGTGCGGCTGACGGCTGATCGAATAAATGATAGGATTGCGTGAAGGATGAAGGACTCGCGCCCTAGGTAAGCTGACGCGCGTGGCCGTGTAAAGGAGGACGCGGTGAGGAGAACGAGAGGAAGGAGATGGGATGGAGGAGACTGTGGCAGAGACGAACGCATGTCTTTCTCTCTCTCTCTCTCTTGACGTCATATATAGCCCATGATATGTGCGCGTGCGGATGGCGGTGCGGAGGATTGGACGGAGAGATGAGACTCTACTGTCACAAAGAAAGATGGGACGCATGGAGAGGATGAGTTGAACAGGTGGCTCACAGAAATGCTGTGTAAGCGTGAGTTAGAGAGAGAGATAGGACGAAGGATTTAGCTGAGCATATCTATAGCCCCCGTCAAGGCCTACTAGAGGAAGATTGACGATGCCGGAGCGTTCTCTCACAGTAGATTGTCGATGATGGCTCGTGTCTGAGATCGCCCACGCGCGCTGGGCGTACGCAGGCAGCGAATCTGTTGATCCATAGAAGAACGGAGAGCGCGAGGCTGGAAACTATCGCGCTGACACCATGTTTTGTCCCTTGTGTGTTCTTTTTCTGTCACTTCCGATTCACAACGCGCACGTAGACCACGCGAAAACACACCAACCATCCACACACACCGGAGCACAAATGCAAACACAGCACGACGAGGCGCACGAGCAGGCACGACGGGCCACACACGACAGCACGAACACAGCCCTCGACACACAACACACCACACACATACACAGCGCACGAACTGGCACGCGAAATTGCAGCCGCAGCGCAACGCGACAGTGGCACGCACGTGCGACACGTGGCACGCGACACGCACACACACACACCAACACACACACAGCACGGGAAGAAGCACGACTTCCAGCAACGCAACACGCGACAAGCACACGCACACGCAACGGAAAACAGCAAGACACATCAACGGAATCACACTGAGAACCAGGCGAACACAGCTACACCCACACACGCTGCGCCCTACACACACACATTCTTTACTCGCCTTCCCCGACTGTTTTTGATTGCCTTCACAGACCCCGCAATAGTAAGAGAGAACCTGATGGATGAAAGACAATAGGTAGATAAAGCACAGCGCTATGTCCCATTGTGTATGGAGCCTAAAGCGCTCGCATTTCTGTAGTTTCCTGTTCGATGCAGCAGCTGCAGTTGCCTTCCTCCTTGAATATGTGACAGTGGTTATATGGATAGGGCCGGCTTAAACACACCGTATGATTGTATACTGCCGTGTTGTTTTCGTTTTTACTTACAACTCAACACGGCACACAGCATTGCGCGTACCCCTAAGATAACACCAGGTGACGATACATATGCGCGGCACGCGTGTGCCACAGGTACTACAAATATAAATGATAGTGTTATATTTATATATATAAGAAGTAAAATCAGTTTTTCCTAACTTTGCCAAGTGTTTATAATTACACGGAAAGTATTGAGCGCAATGACAACAACCTAATGCATCACATGTCGCAGCGATAACTCCGGTATTTTTCTGCCATTTAAAGAAAGCTGATAGGTAGATTGTATATATTGACACGAGATGAGATACTTATTATATAGTATAAAGTATATATGCTGTTGTGTGATCCCGTTGTTGCTGGCCGGTGGTGGGCGTTACGGAGTGTTATAGGCGACTACAGTAGTGAGCAACGGGGTAGAGAGCATGAGACAGACAGAGAGACCAATCGGATCGTGAGATTGATTTTTAAAACAAAGAGAGCAGCTCTCCAGAGAGGTGAAGAGCGTCCCGCGCGCGATGACATCACGGTCACTTGCACGCCCAATACGCATCGCTCCGCTATGCACGCACCGCACGTGCCGCCACGCACGCATTGCACGCACGCACTGCACTCGCCACGCAGCGTGCACGGTTACTGTGCAAGATACCTTCGTGGCGCGCAGCGCTCGTAGAATTCTCCCGCGTTGATAAGTGTCGCTTCTCAGGTGCAGTTAGGCTTGCTCGTTTCGCAACGTGCGGCTCCTATTGGTCTCGTACACCGTGGCTCCGGACCCGTGGTCACCGTTTTCTGTCGCGCGCGTGTCTCTAGACCAGATTTTACAGATTAGCGAAATGTAAGTGAGTACATAGAGCGTCCTGATCGCTCGTACGCCTCGACCTTCTGTTGTCACTTGTGTGCCTAGTATATCAGGACTATCGAAACGACTGGGACTTGCAATCCCGCCATTGAGTGGCCTCGTATGCTCATTCCTTTCTTTGCTCCATCTAGTTCTTCGGCCACTGGCGTCTGCAGACACCCTTAGCCGCGGAGGAATAGCTTCCCCGCTCTTGCGTCATTCTCTGGCTCCTGTCTCGTCGCCTCTCATCTCTGAATCCTCTCTGCTTTCTCTCCTCGTCATCACGTCTCTTTCTCTCCATCTCTCTCTCTCCCGCTCCATTGCATGTCTCCCTTTCTCCCTCTCCATCTCCCTTTTCCTTTCACTCTCCCTCTCCATCTCTCTCTTCCTTTCACTCTCCCTCTCAATCTCTCTCTTCTTTTCACTCTCCCTCTCCACCTACCTCTTCCTTTCAGTCTCCCCCTCCATCTCCCTCTTCCTTTTACTCTCTCTCTCTCTCTCTCTCTCTCTCTCTCTCTATCTCCTTCTTCCTTTCACTCTCCCTCTCCATCGCCCTCTTTCTTTTACTCTCTCTCTCTCCATCTCCCTCTTCCTTCACTCTTCCTCTCCATCTCCCACTCTCTCCTCCATCTCCCTCTTCCTTCACTCTCCCTCTCCATCTCCCTCTTCCTTTCACTCTTCCTCTCCATCTCCCTCTTCCTTTTACTCTCCCTCTTCACCTTCCACACATACTCCTTCCCCCTCGCCCGCTTCTGCTATTCGGGGTTCCCTTTTCCTTGCCATTTCTCTCTCTCGATCTTCATCGCCTTCAACCCCTTTTTTTCTTTCCCTCTCTCTCTCTCTCTACCTTTCTCCCCCTATATCTATCTATCTCTGTCTTTCTTTCCCTCTCGCTCTCCCTCCCTTTTCCCCTCTACCCCTCTCTCTATTCCTACACCTACTATAGCACTATCCGCTGTGTCTGCTGTAAGGTTGTGTTTGTTGTTATTGTTAATTCTGTTCTTTCTTCTGTTTTCCCAACGCTTCGTCCAATTTCTTGTATCGCCAACAATCTCCTTCCTTTCTCTCCTCCTCCCTTAAACGATCTTTTAACGCATACCCTCGCATAGCCTCTGTGTCAAGTTTTAAAACACCGTCATGCAAAAAAATTGTTTCAAGAAATCGAATATATCGGTTATCGATGACTTAACTAGTATAGTCAATGGAATTCTTAACAGGATAAAAATCTTCATTTATTCTAGATCGTTTAAAATCAAACATACGTGGTTACCTTTGAATAAGGGGCATACTCTGTCCCACACGGATATGCATCCACAGCGTTGGTATTGGCCCAGTGCCAACTCGAGATAGAAGAGAGGCAAACCTCCGAGGAAATACATGGTGAAGTAAGGAATGAAGAAAGCACCTGCGTGAGAGAGAACACCACTACTGTCACCGTCAGAGAGACATCGAGTAGAGGGAAGCGAGTGAGAGTGAGAGAAAGAAAGTAAGCGAATGCGAAGAAGAGAGGGGCACAAAGGTGGGAAAATTAAAAAGAAGGTGACTAGAGGAATTAAGAATACGTATAGGGGAGCGAGTGAAGGGTGTAAGGCCGAGTTAAGGCGAGAAGAACATGGCAGAGGAGAGGAGAAGCGAGAGAGAGAGAGAGAGAGAGAGAGAGAGGGAGAGGAGAGAGGGGAACAAAAGAAGGTGAATAGAAGCTCGAGTGTATGAAGGGCATCAACCTCCGACGAGACCTCAATCTCATACCTGCTCTTCTAGCGTGGACGGCGGGGACACGCCATCTGCTATGAGCATACCTTCCGCCTGGCTACCGCCTGGCTCCTGGGCAACTTAACGCCCCCAGCATACACCCTCAAGCACCCCTGCCGCGCGGGGCGTACGCGTTCACATCTGGTAAGTGCACCCCGCCCGTGTGAGAAAGATATTTTTCTCACACGTAGAATGGTGGTGTTTTTTCGCAGATTTCTTCTGTGAATGCTGATGATGATGATATTAGGATGCAGGCATGCAAAGTTGTTGGGGCAACCGCGTCCCGACGCTCCGTCATGGTCGATGTGATGGTGTGTGTGTGGTGTGTGCGTGCGTGCGTGCGTGCGTTGCGTGCGTCGCGGCGTGCGTGTGTGGTGTGTGTGCGTGCGGTGCGTAGCTGGTGCGTGGTGCGTCGCGTGCCGTAAGCGTAGCGTGCGGTGCGTGCGTGTGTAGTGTGTGTCGTGTGTGATGTGTGTGTGTGTGTGTGTGTGTGTGAGCTACTGTGTGTAATAAACACCGACTATTATCACATACGGTGTGGCCACCTGATGCCATTGTTACGAGCCGGAATAGAGCCCGTCAGGGTTTAGCGAGAAATGAGAGCACGTAGTCATGAGTTAATTTAAAACTTTTAACAATAGGCGACCGTCTCCCGGGAACGCGCGCGCGTGCGTGCGAGATTGCGCTCGTATGTATGGTGTTCCAAAATTGCCATCGCGCGTCGTGCGATTCAAATGTGCGACGTCGCGCACGACGTTGTACATTTTTGTTCCATAATTGTCGTCGCGTCGTGTTTTTTATTCCTTCCTCAACCACGACGTCGCCCTTGGCAAACACGACGTCGCGCATTTTCAACCACGACGTGGCTCTTTTTCAAACGCGACGTCGCCCTTTTTCAAACGCGACGTCGCCATTTTTCAAACGCGACGTCGGTCTTTTTCAAACACGACGTCGCCCTTTTTTAACCGTGTTCCATAAATGCAATCGTGCGCCGTGCGGCCCATCTAATTGTCACTAAAAACAAGAGAGCGGAAGTATTATTTACACAGCACGAACTCATATACGTAATACTCGTTTACAATCATAATTTAAATATAACGAAACAATATTAAAGGATCTATAGATAGACCTATATGCTATAGTCCGGAGAATGTTAATTAGCATTACACAAATTTATATACATTCATTTATGGTATAGATATGTGAAGACAGGCATATGCAAATCTGGAACAAAAATGTCAAGGCTGTTGATTTCAAAAATCCCCAATTTTATTCTAAATTAACTAGACCGTACAACCCATATTCTGTATATAAATACTGTGCAAAGCTGTGAAAGCAAATTTTCACTTGTTTTCATCGCTGTGAATCAGAAAATCAAATCGAGAGTTGCAATGTATGCTAGGAATTGGATAAATATTAAAGTAAATAGACCTACATGTTATAATGATAACACTTACCGCAAAGGAATTCTTGTTAGGGAACAGGGGGTTGTCGTTGGTGAAGAAGTTTGTCTTTGAAACGGACAAGTAAGCGTAGTATAGGGCGCAAAAGCAAAAACACAATCAGAAGAATGAGGCAATTAAGCGAGCGAGCGTAAAACTGCTCGCAAAAAGTAGTCGAAATTAGATGGGCCGCACACCGCGCGATGGCATTTATGGAACACGGTTAAAAAAGGGCGACGTCGCGTTTGGAAAAGGGCGACGTCGTGGATGAAAAAGGGCGACGTCGCGTTTGAAAAAGGGCGACGTCGTGTTTATGCACACAGGGAGATTATGGAACAGAAATTCCAGAACAGAATGCACAGATGGAACATTTGAATCGCACGAAGCGCGATGGCAATTTTGGAACGCCATACTATGTATGCGTCGGCCTGCGTGCGTGCGTGCGTATACGCGCGTGCGTGCGTTTGACCCCGTCCTCCTGCAATTCCCTCCGCCCCTCCCCCATTTCCCTCCGCCTCCTCTCTCGGTGCTATACGCTACCACTCACCGCCGCCGTTTCGATAGCAGATGTACGGAAACCGCCAGACGTTTCCCAGGTCGACGGCGAATCCGATGACGGACAGCAGGAAGTCAATCTTCTTCCCCCAGTGCTCGCGTTCAGCGCCCTGGTGACCTTCTTCCATCCCGAGGTCATCCCCCTTCGCCGCTAACTCCTTCATCCCGCACGTGACGTCACCGCGTTCGTCCATCTCTGGAGCAGTGTCCGGTGGCGAAGGTGAGACGTATAGTTAGAGGTAGGCCGTCATTCGGCTTGGCGGCGGCGGTGATGACGTAAGCGCGGTGACAGACGATCGGATATCGGCGGCAGTTTAGTTGCTGCGATGAAATGACGGCGTCACGGAAAAATCTCGTGTCGTTATTTCTTCTCTCTTGTGCGGATTTTCTCTCTCTCTTTTTCTTTCTTTTTTTCTCTTTCTCTCTCTCTCTCTCTCTCTCTCTCTCACTCTCCCTCTCTCCTTCTCTCTCTTTCTCTCTCTCTTTCTCTCTTCCTTTCTTTCTCTCTCGCTCTCTCACTTTCTCTCTCCGTCTTTCACGCTCGCTACCTCCCTTCTTTCTCCCGTATACACGCTCTGTCGGACGAGTCACTCACAAACAGTCGCCGTCCGCGTTTCTTCACATACACACCTACACGTATATAGCACACGACTGCATGTTTCACGCGTGATAGATAGAAGATACACACCTACACGTATATAGCACACGACTGTTTCACGCGTGATAGATAGATAGAAGACTATGTACGCATGCGCGTGCTTCACGCTCAGTGTTTCAGCATCACGCGTTCACCACACACACACACACAGACCGCGCGGGTGTACACGGGCCGCGAGAGAACAGGAAAAGAACGGGAACGCTGTACATATAGAAGCGCGAAGGAGGAAACGGAAGTCCGCACGTGGTCAAGTTGTTGCAGTAGTAGGGAAAACTCGGGTCCCCGTGCGTGCTCATGTGCGTCAGTGCGACCAGACGGAACAAGCTTGACTTTTAAAGGCCTCGTTCGCGCTGGACTGGTTGTATCCAAGTATCGAGCGCGCGCGTGTGCGTCTCCCGGCCTCGTGACGTCATCCAACATGGCGGACGTTTGCTGTGCGCGATCGTCAGCTACAGAGAGAAAATAACGAAGAACACATACAGCTATACTGCTGCGTGCATGATTTGTCGCCATACGTCACTAAACAAACGCGTGGCGCGTGATTGGATACAATCCGCTATATTATATAATACTAGGGGAAAATATTTGTATTTTTTATTTAATATCGTAATTACTAATGTTACTAATCATCATAATTTTATCCTGTCACTTAGATAGCTCGAAATTACATTAAAGACACAATGAACAATATTGAATGAAAAAAATAAAACGTAAAGGAATTCCCCCCCCCCCTGGGATTTGAACCTGCACCCTCTCTGCCTTTAACATATCCACGACGCTATTCACTAGACTTTAATGCGGGTGAAATACTATTTATTACAATATTATATGTAAAAAATAAAACACTATTACGTACGCCGCGCAGCTGCAGCAGCGGCACTGTATGGTTCCTGAAAGTCAGCTGTATGGTTCCTGAATTTCATGACTGAATGCTTCAGGATTCAATTATTTTAATGCATTGCTCTTGTTCTAGTTGTTTATATCTAATCAGACTAATGTTAGAGGATAGTGAATACATGTGTGCGGATACGCGTTCAGACGCACACACACACTTCAAAACTTCTGTCGTACAACTGCGATCCAAAATGGCACCTGTTACGTTAGAAGTACATGACCAATCAGCGTCATCGTCTTGTATATCAAGTGCATGCTTACCACGGTTGAATGGAGGCGTGTTTACATTGTATTTGTAACGTGAATATGCTCTAGTTCGAATGAGTTATGTGTCTGCACTCAGGAAATCCCAAAGACTTCTCTGTATTGGAGGCCATCTAGTCAGAAGGGGGATTATAAATAAGATGTCGTCCGGGAGTGATGCAACTGCTGGAATCATCGGTAAGGTGCCGTCCTACTCCTGGCTATATAATGCTCCATTAGGAGTGTTCCCAACTTTCATATCATTAATGATTATATGATTAATGATTGATAATCCTAACCCTAACCCCAACCCTCACCTAAATGACATATTAAACCACAAACTAATATATGACCATGACCATATTTTTTTTTTCAGTGATTGGCGATGAGATCCTGAAAGGACAGACGTTGGACACTAATTCTCACTTTCTCAGCAAGCATTTGTTTTCACTTGGAGTGAAAGTTCAGCGAGTGAGTGACACTACGACACTGTTATTAGTGTTGTCAATCGGTTGTAATTTCGTAATCGATCATCGGTTGGACCCAAGTAACCGATGATCGGAATTATACAATCGGTTACTCGGGGTGTTGAATGCCTGCGTGTGCGTAACGTCGTGTGCATGTACGTGTGTGCATGTATGTGCTTGTTTAGCCCTGTTTACTGTTTGTTTTGCACTGTTTACTACTGTGTGTATAATACATGTACTGATTCTCATCATTTTTCCAAGTTTTTTTTTTTTTTCGATGAAATTGATTATGGATTTTGATAACCAAGCGCTTGGTTCGAGCCACTGCTCAACCGATGATCGAGTATAATCGATGATCGTGACATCACTAACTGTTATATTCAACAGTTGCTAATTAGGGAAAGTGAAGTATAATGATAGTATATAGTACAACGGTATGTTCTATATCCCTTAATATGCTTGTGAGAATTAGACCATGTATTTCCTCTATAAATTCTTGTTTAGGTGTCAGTGATTCCTGACGACCTGGAAGTCATAGCGAAGGAAGTTAGAGAATTTTCGTCGAAGTATACATATGTGCTGACATCTGGTGGCATTGGACCAACTCATGATGACATGACTTCAGAGGGCAAGCATCTTTTTGTTTAATATTTTGACTTCATTGGTTCTTTAGCCTAAGTGGTTGCAGGTGGTTTATGAGTAGTTGTGGAGTAAAGCAGCTGCTTTGCTAAATAGCTAAAGGCAGTGTACCTATATTAATGCTGACTATTACTGAGTAGCCAGCTCTGCCTAGGAAAAATCTTATTTGTTCTTGAGGTCAGGTGACTTTGTGCCACCGGTGTAGGCTGTGGTCTGCTCTCTATTAAATAGTATCATTATTTCTTGATGTAATTGATTTATCAAAAATTTCAAACTGCTTAGCAACGACGACTCAGTCGAGATGGAGAGCTCCATTTGATATCCGCTGACTGAGCATATGCAGATAGATTGATTGATGGATGAATCGATTGATGGACAGATGGATGGATGAATAGATGAATAGATAGATAGATAGATAGGTAGGTATAGGCAGGAAGGCAGGGAGGTAGGTAGGCAGGCAGGCAGGCAAACAGGCAGACACAGTGACAGACAGCAGATAGACAAACAGACTCACAGATAAACACTTTTTTATTCGCAATAAGATGGTACCTTGGGTAACAACAACAACAACAACAACAACAACACTGTTATAGCTCGTGAGCTCCTCGACGCTGCTGACGTGCACTTGTTTTGTTCTCGCTCGCAGGTATAGCGATGGCGTTCGGGGAGGAGGTGAAACCTCACGCGGAACTAGTGAAGCTCGTGAGGCAATTCTTCGGCGACGTCAGCATGGATTCACCAGAGATGAAACTAGCGCACGTAAGCAGTCGTAGCGACTCTGTAGTGACGAATACAAGAACGCTACGACAGGCCTAGATCATTGCCGCATAATGTTACGACAGACAGCGTCCGGCCTGCGGGCGTGAAGGTTTGAGATGGTTCCTCCGTGGCAATGTCGTGCTGCTGTTGTCACAGCTACAGGACTGTAGTGAGCACTAGCGCGATAAATAATAAACATAGTTTAGCTGTAACACGTTGCGTCTAAGTTACATTGTCGTTGTTGTACCCTAATATAGCAATATACGTACAGTCGTAACTGTATATCCTTATATAATCATCCTCATTTATAACGAAACATAGTGCCTGAGACAAAGCTCTCTCTCTACCTCTACAGTAATGATGTGCTTGTACTGACTGGCTTTCATGGCACTGGGGTTGTGTACAGGTGCCAGAGTCAGCGCAGCTAAGGTATGGCGTTCACCCGATCACCGGCAAGACGGCCCCGTATCCTCTCGTCACAGTCAGGAATGTCTACTTGTTTCCCGGCATTCCTCATCTACTGGAGCGTAACTTTGCCAATGTGGAAGTGAGTATATACACGTATATAGATAATATGTCGCTATAGCTATGGATGAATACATAGATAGTAGATACATACACAAATCGAGAGTCGGTCTTGTTGTGCGTACCTTCACTTTCACTATTCTCGAAGTAACTGCTTATTATAATATGAATTAATAAAATGTGATTTTGCAGTGAGTATAGCATTCATCCAACAATGTTGAGTGAAGCTATGCCATATTGGTAATATAACATGATGGCCTTTTTAACTTATCTGGCCATAGATGGCAGCACAGGCATCCCATAATAATTATGACGGCTGCTCTTCAGCACTTGTTTCGCAACGAGGCCGTACAGTTTCACGTGAGACAGATGTTCCTGGCCCAGGATGAGATGTCCATCGCCGGCATGATCTCCAAAGTAAACAAGCAATACAAAGATAGGGTTGATTTGGGGTCTTACCCGAAGCTAGACAACAGGTACACATACACACAAGCTACACCGGCTTAGTCCTGTATTGACAATTGTGTAATTGGGAAGGCCAGATTAGACGACGAATTGTTTTACTGCTAAATTGTTGTGGGAGTGATATGCATAGAAGTGTGTGATATCGAAGATTATTCTTGGTAGCAGAAAATTTCCCTTCGTTGTATCTTCTAATGTCATGCACTTCTGATGATAGTTATAAATAGATGAGCAGAATAAGTAGCAGTTTAAGCTCATTTTATCTGCATATGACATTCACTGGCGTGTATAATTTCTCACATAACTTGTCTCTTGATTAACCTGTTCTACGTTTCTGTCAGCTACTACCAGGTCAAGCTGACGATACAGGGGAAAACGACAGAGATAGTGGACGAGGTATACAACCACCTAGCATCCTTGTTTCCACCGGGTAAGTAGTCATCGGAGTCATGTAACATTTGTTGATAAAGAAGTACTAAAAACCTGCTTTACGGCATGAACTTACCGCTGGGAACAATTTCATGCGCCTAAATTGAGATGATTCCTACCCAGCTCTACCCAATTGGTGTCGTGATAGCAGGTTCTAAAAACAATGCTCAGTGACAAAATTGACACTAACGTTGGCAGAGATCCTGCTGGACTACGACGTTGATCCCGTCGCTCACGCCGCAGACAAGGTCTACGCGCTCGCCGACACGTTCCCGCACGCACGCCACGCACTAGACGTCATCGAAGAATGCTTCGATAGATACAGGTAAGAGTGGCGCGACCTGGTGGTGCTGATAGTAGCGCCACCTGTGTGCCACGCGCTAGGCGTCATCGAAAAATGCTTCGATAGATACAGGTGAGAGTAGCTCGACCTGGTGGTGCTGATGGTAGCGCCACCTGGTGGTGCTGACACCACAGATTTCATCGTCGAGAGTAGGGAGAATTCGGTGGTTCGTTGTGAATAAGTGCTATTGTAAACGGAACAACACGAAAGGACTGGCAATATGGAACCGCGAGCGATCGAAAAGCTAAACTACGCGAGAGAATGACTTGTGGCGAGGGAACCTCAGGTAGCGACGATAGAGACACCAAGATGTGGAGAGAGCAGGCTCTGTGATTTGAATTTGCAGCGTAGGTGCTTGAATTTTGCAGTTTCTATTCTGTTCACAGTCTCGAGGAAGTGTGTCTGAGTTTCAACGGAGGAAAAGATTGCACCGTCCTTCTACATCTAATGCATGCCGTCATGCAAAGGTGGGCGAAATTTTCCCAATCGTTCCTTTAGAGTCGTAACTGTACAGCAGTCGGCGACGAAGTTCCATGTAATAGCACGGTGCACTCGTAGTTAAAGTCTCTTTGTGTGTAGCATTGGTACTACTATATATTCTACTATATATTACTATTCTATTGGATGTTCTCTTATATGACTTGTAAATGTGGATAAGGGTAGTGGCTGTGTCAGACTCATTATTTTCTGGACGTGTAAGCAATGGCATGCTGGGTGTAGATTGTTGCAGCAGTGAATGAACGAGTTGCTGCATTGTGGAGGTAGTTGATGCAGTTACCTACAGGTGGCGCCGCTGTGTTGTTGTGCAGGAGGTATCCGGGCAACCGCGCGGGGATGCCGCTGCTATACGTGAGATGTGATCTTCCGTTCCCAGAGGTAGAGCAGTTCATTCACGAGTCCGCTGACAGGTGGGTGATGTGCGTGCGTGCGTGCGTGCGTGCGTGTCTCACTCTGCCACTATCATTTGCCGATGTTCTATCAGTGTTCAACACCTGTCATTCCTGTGTAGTCTTGTCATCGGCTGTCCTCTCTCAGTCGTACTGTTGTGCTTTTCCTGACATCTTTCCTGTCATGCACCACTATAGGATCTAGTAAAAGCAATTATCTTATTAGCCTATAAATTATGTTTTATTCTTTATGTTTGTATTGATATGTCTGGTCTGTGATGTTCTAGTAAACAGCAAAGTTTTATTGGATGTCCTTATTTATTGAATGAATCGTCATTTCAATACGTAAAAATCTAGTGGCGAGTGCAGTGTCATGGCGTGCCTGCAGTGTCATGGCGTGCCTGCAGTGTCATGGCGTGCTGCAGTGTTCAAGTGGCGTGCGGGCAGTGGTATTGGGCGGTGGCCTGCAGTGTCTGATGGCGTGGCCTGCAGTGTCATGGCGTCCTGGCAGTGTCAAAATGCGTGGCCTGCATGTGTCATGGCGTGCCTCGCAGGTGTCATGGCGGTGCCGTGCAGTGTCATGGCCTGCCTGGCAGTGTTTTCCCCCCCCCCCCCCCATGCGTGCCTTGGCGAGTGGCATGGCCGTGCCTGCATGGCATGGCGTGGATCGCAGGTCAATGGCGTGCTGCAGTGTCATGGGCGTGCCTGCAGTGTCATGGCTGTGCCCTGCAGTATGTCATGGCGTGTGCAGTGTCATGGCGTGCCTGCAGTGTCATGGCGCTGCCTGCAGTGTCATGCTGCCTGTCAGTGGCATGGCGTGCCTGCAGTGTCATGGCGTGCCGTGCAGTGTCATGGCGTGCCTCGCAGTGTCATGGCGGTGGCCTGCATGTCCCGGCCGTGCCTAGCGGTTGTCAATGCGTGGCCTGGCGCGTGTCATGGCGTGCGCCTGTGCGGCTGTCATGGCGTGCTCGCTGCAGTGTCATGGCGTGCCTGCAGTGTCATGGCGTGCCTGCAGTGTCATGGCGTGCTGCAGTGTCATGGCGTGTCCTGCAGCTGTCCATGGCGTGCCTCGCAGTGCATGGCGGTGCCTGTCAGTGTCATGGCGTGCCTGCAGTGTCATGGCGGCCTGCAGTGTTCATGGCGTCCTTGGCAGTGTCATGGCGTGTGTGGGCAGTGTCCATGGCGTGCGTGCAGTGTCATGGGCGTCACTGCAGTGGCATGGCGTGCTGGAGCAGGCACATATGTAGACGTTGAGTGCAGTGCTATTCATCGATCCAGCTGATGTTCAACGCTCCGATATATCCTCTCAAATGTATGGCCTAGGCCCTCGTTCTGCCTGAGCCGGTAAAATCAGAGATGCTATTAGAGACCCATGCAGGCAGCAGCAGTCAGAGCAACCAGCATCAGGAGTTGAAGGCCGATATCATGGGCACACGTCGCAGCCGATCTCCAGGGCTGTGGGCGTGCTATCGTGAACGTATCTGTACGATCGGTGTGGATAGATGCAAACCTCATGTAATTCACATCCTGATACAATGTTTGTGATTGTTGTTTATGACATATCTATCTAACCATCTGCTCTCTCTCTCTACGTCTTCTCTCTCTCAACTCTCCTCTCTCTCTCTCGTCTCTCTCTCGTCTCATCTCTCTCTGCACTTCCTCTCTCTCTCTTTCTCTCCCTCTCGTCTGCTTCTCTCTCTTATCTCTTTCTCCTTCTCTCTCCTCTCTCTCCTCTCCCTCTCTCTCTCTCCTCTCTCCTCGCTCCTCTCTCTCCTCTCTCTCATCTCGTCTGCTCTCCCTCTTCGTCCTCGTCTCCTCTTTCTCGTCTCGCCCTCCTCTCTTTCTTTCTCAGCTCTTTCCTCTCTCCCCGTCTCGTCTCTCCCTCTCTCCTTTTTCTGCTCTCTCTCTCTCCTCTCTCTTCTTATATATATAATATACTATTTGTTTATTTATATATACGTACATTGCAGGCACACACACGCACAGATAACAATAATGTTCGTCGAAAAGAAAAGAAAGATGAAAGGAAAGAAAATGTAATATACCTCTACTATAACTTGTTGCTGTCCTCTACAATTCTTGAATAAACGTAACACACTGCAAGCAAAACTCGCTTTGCCCTCAAATAAGATTCCTTGTTTGACCGCCCGCTCTCAATCCTCGGCTGTCTTGCAGCTGACCATGAGGCATTCATGATGACCGATGCTGGATGGCCGCAGTTCATGCGAGTGCAGCCGATCATGGACTGGACGTACGAAGACATCTGGAAGTTTCTGCGACAGCTGTGTGTGCCCTACTGCAGTCTCTACGATAAAGGGTAGGTGGGCACGCCCCGTCTTCATTTGACCCATCCGACTGAGGGATATAACAGTGATGTGTTTGGGTATTGTTGCCTAGATTGGTCGAGTCGAGCCGGTTCGTACGTGTACACGCATGTTTTTACACCAAAATGTTGAATTTGTGGCACTTTATTACTATGCATTGTTTTGGAATGTGCTGTTGCAACAGTGATTGGCTAGCACGGCCTGTGAATCACAGCAGGAGGATAGGGTCAGTTTATTGCTCTCAACACGTTGTTCCGCCGCCCTTTTCCTCAGAAATCGTTCCATTTCCACAATGTGTTTAGAATTTCAGGCAAAGTCGAACGATGCGCCGTGCTTTAGTAGCATATGAAGAAACCATGTTACTGTTTGTAACATAGTGACTCCAATTACCCTGCTTCAAATTTCCCGAATCCTACCTGAAACTCACCGTTGTTTGGCTTATACTGCACACGTGGTGTGTTTGATTGTTAATGATTATTGATTATTGATTATTATTGATTATTGATTATTAATGATTATTAATGATGTGTTTGATTGGTATTGATGATTACTTGATGGTATTGTTCTAAATGCGTATTTTGTTGTTTGGGTGGATGACTGTGTAATTCTTCGGCAGATACACGTCTCTGGGAAGCATGCACAACACGCATCCAAACTCACAACTCAAGTACATGGACCAGGACATGGTGAAGTACAGGCCAGCGTACAAGTTGAAGGATGCCAGCCAGGAGAGAACAAATCGCTTCTGACAACCCCTGACACCCCCTGCCTTCCACCAACTTCCCACCAGTCTTCCTTCCACCCGCCTCCCGGGATCCCACC